TTGGTTAAGGAGGAAAGCAGGGAGGGTCCTCCCAGGGAAGGCTGAGGGCAGGGTCAGAGAAGGGTGTTCTTTGGCATTGGAAGTGGGTCTGTGGGCTCTGGGCCTAGGGTCCCCGCCAGTGATGGCCTTTTCACAGCACTTATCGTTCTAGTTTCTGCCTTCCCAGAGAGCAGTCAGAGATTTTTTGTTAGGAGCACAATCGTGCAGTGTCATGGTGCCTGGGTCCTTCTTCTGGTACCGTTGGGGGCTCTTGATGCTGCACAGGACTTGTTTGACCCAGAGCCACATGTCAATGACTCTTGTCCTTTGTTCATTCCTGTACTTAATGAGTTCTTGAAACTATGTGACCACTCATGGCACTTAACACCTACTTCATGAGTTGTCATGAGATTAACATTAATTAACGTCTGTGAATGCACTAGGCACAGCTTCTGGCACATCAATGAACCTCTACAAATGATTGCTGAATCAGAACCTTTTTTTTTTTTAAATCTGTTTCACAGCACTCTATTTCAAACAGTTTTAAAGCCTAGTGTACATTAGAGATCTAATTATAAATTCACTGTAAGGCACAAAACTGTGCTGTATAAATTGAAAGTTTTACGTGGCCTCCATTTGATCGGACTCTGTAGGGCTAATAGGCTGATGGGACTACCTGTTACTATGATGATCTAACCAGAGGACAGAAGAGGTCAAGCTTTGCAGAGAAAGTAAGAACCTCACTCTCATTTCTAATCTTAAAACACCATGGTGTGTTCTGTTTCTTTCTATGGGCTGAGAAGAGGATAACAATCCATATAATTGGGTTTAAAGAGTATGATCTATTGTAGTTTGATCAGTGGCTTGTCCTCTGGTGGTTATTTTGGGTAATCAGGCTTTTATGCTGAAGATTTTTTGTGCTTCTAGTAAAGTTCATGGAACTTAGAAAGTTCCCCTTTACAGAAAGGGTTACCTTGTTCAGACCTGTACTCTGCATTTTTCCCCCAAGAGTGGTAGGAAGTTAGACTGAATTCTTTCTCCACTTACTGGGCCCTTAGTTAACCTGTGGCCTGTTAAAGGATTAAATATGTGATACTGGTCCCATAAGTACTGTACAAAGTTGAAGTGTAAGCTGGGTTTCAGCCTTAGTAACTAAAAGTACATATCCCACTTTCTCCCACACCTTTGCCCTCCAAACCCAGAAGCAAAAGTGGTTTATTTAGGAAGCAGCAGTGTTCTCATTTATAGTTTCAAAAGCCTTCATATACTAGAGATATTTAACATGGAGCTTACCACCCAGGGCGGCATGTCACATACACATCACACATTCAGATGGTTAAGAGTGTTGCTTGGTTGTTTTGCAGATTTTTGCATTTTTCAGTGAGGTATGTATGTAGTCATCTGACCAACATCTCTTGAGCATATATAATGCCTGTGCAAGGTGCTAGGGACAGGCTGCTCAACAGGTAATCAGTCCGTGAGGGGAATTGTATGCAGGAGGGATTCAGGAGTTGCGGCAGCCTTCCTAGAAGGTGATAGCCACATGGGGGAGGAGACGGGAGCTCCTAGGAGAAAGAAGAGTCAAGAGAGAGCTTGATGTGGTTGGAAACAGTTTGGTATCCATGACGTCTCTGGCTAACTGGGGACTTTCAGGACTGAATCCTTGGGGCTGTGGGATGCCCCTGGAGGATTGTGATTGAGGAGCCATTTATTTAAACAATTCCTTTGGGGTAGGGGATAGACTGGCGAGGGTGAGCCCTCAGATGGAAGGCTGCTGCAAGACTGTAGGGGCGTGAACTGATGGAGTGGGAGTGGCAGGCAGAGAGGGACTGAAGGAGACAGGCTTAGGTTCTAGCCCGTCAGTCTGGTGATAGGAGAAGAGCCAAGGATGGACCTCTGAGAGACAGGTGAGTCAGAGGTCAAGAAGGAGTGTGTCGTAGAAATTGGGCTACTTGGCCACAGGACAGGCTTTGCATCAGATTTAGAAACTAGCAGGTTAGACATTGGTGAGAACATTTTACTGGAAGATGAGGATCAGGCCTGGATTTCAGTGGGTTGAAGAGTGAAAGAAGGTAAGGAAGTGGGGATAAACGTAGGCTCCTCGGGAGAGAAGTTTGGCTGTGGAGGGAAAGGAAGAGAAACCAAATGAACCAGAAGACAGTCCAGTAGACAAGTAGGCAAAGGGTATAAAGAGGCAACTGAAATAAACAGAAACCTGAATGACTATAATCATATGACTTGTTACACCCACTTGTAGTGAGAGAAATGTAAATTAAAATAATAATGAGATGTCATTTTGTGCCCATTCAGATAATCAAAAATTTTAAGGGCTGATAGGGCCAAGTTTTTTCAAATGTGAAGAATCAGGAAAACTGCTGGTGTAAGTAAATTGATATTTTAGGTTGAGGATGTATGGTCCCCTGTGACCCCACATTTCTACCCTAGGTACAGACCCTAATGCAGCATGTTCAGATTGCAGGTCATGACCTGCCAGTGAACCATTAAATCAATTTATTGAGAAGTATTTTTTCTTAATGAAATAATTAGAAAATAGTCAATTTCATATCTAGTAAGGGTAAATATTTTATGAAACTTTTCAAATATTTGTGTGTGTATATTACATTTCAGTGTAAAATGAAACTCTTACCATGGGTTTCAGAAACACTGCCTTAGAGAAGCTCCCACACATGGGAGAGGGAAGCAGGGCAACAGGAAGAGATGTTCATCCTGGTAGCAGAGCAAAGAAACTGAAAACAACCTAGGTGCCTATTGTGTATATATACTATATATTGTTCACAGTATATTCACAATTTATCCAGTCTGGTATATAGATGAATGAACTGGAACGATATGCATCAACATAGATGAATCTAAGAGACACTGGAGAAAGAAAGTTGTAGAAGAGTCTCATTGCAATGCCACTTCCATATGTTTAAAAACAAGCTGGCTGGGTACAGTGGCTCATGTCTATAATCTCAGCTAGTAGGGTGGCTGAGGCAGGAAGATTGCTTGAGCTCAGGAGTTTAAGACCAGTTGAGCAAGAGTGAGACCCTAAAAAAAAAAAATAGAAAAATTAGCGCAGGTGTGGTTGTACCCCCGTAGTCCCAGCTACTTAGGAGGCTGAGGCAGGAGGATCACTTGAGCGCAAAAGTTTGAGGTTGCTGTGAGCAATGATGACACCACTGAAATCTAGCCTGGGTGACAGAGTGAGACCCTTTCTCAAAAAAAAAAAAAAAATTAGCTGGGCATGGTGGCATACACCTGTAGTCCCAGCTAATTGGGAGGCTGAGGTGGGAGGATCACCTGAGCCCAGGACTTGGAGGCGGTAGTGAGCTATGATTGTGCCCGTGCACTCCAGGCTGGGTAATAGAGCGAGATTTCATCTCTTAAAAAATAATTAAAGTTAAAACCAGACGGTACTATATATTGTTCACGGACAGATGTATGTAGTGGAAGTATTATAACATGGCCTCAAAGAACTTATACCAATTTGAAAAGGGCAATTCCAGGTAGAGGAGAGGAAAGAATTGGAGTGGGGAGGGGTCAGAGAAGGCTTTTAATTGTTTCTGTGACTTTTTTTCCTTTAAAAAATATCTGAATCTGGCCGGGTGCGGTGGCTCACGCCTGTAATCCTAGCTCTCTGGGAGGCTGAGGTGGGCGGATTGTTTGAGCTCAGCAGTTCGAAACCAGCCTGAGCAAGAGCGAGACCCCGTCTCTACTAAAAATAGAAA